GGGGGGGGTGGGGGGGAGCTGAGGTACCAGCTTTGGATATTCCACGGGGTGGGGATGGCAAAACAGACAAGGGTTCCCGTATGTCTGAGCGGACCTTCCTGGCTAGACTTCACCTCCGCTTGGGCATGGTCCCCCAGACATGATGATGCCGAGCCCGGAAACTCCACATCCTGTGGGACCAGGGCTGTAGTCGTCTTGCCTGCCCTCAAAGTTCTAGATCAAGCCTGTCTCGGTCAGTGTTTATATTTATAGCCAAGTACCTTCTCTGGGAGATAACATCGAGCTGGGGGTTCAGCCCAGCCCTCTTCTCCTGACACTAAACCACCTCAGCCCAGCCTCCCTCAACTACAAAACTAGGTGCTGCAGCCCCTGGAACCAGGCACCCCCAGAATGACCCTGGTCCAGGTGAGGGGGATCGGGAAAGAGCTCACAGGAGGGGCTTCTGGGCAGACTCTGGTCAAGAAGCATGGCATCAGGCATCGTGGGGATGAACTTTTTGTCTTTCCATTTTTAGATCTTCCAAGATGGGGAGGGAAGGGGAAACATGAGCCTTTGTTGCTGTCAAATGGAGAACTTATTTGTACAATTTTTTTCAATAAAACTTTTTCCAATGAAATTTTATTGGCGCGTGGCAGTAGACTGGATCAAGAGACTCCCACATTCTTACTCCCAGGGGACAAGGTCTCTTCCTATGAAGGCAGGCTTGCTGACAGGCCATGTCCGGCCCTGGAATGCCAGCAGGTCACTGTGCGGACAGCGCCATGCGGCAGGCTGGCTCTGTGCTGACTCGGGACATTGCTCCGGCAGCCCTGGAGAGGTTGCAGCTGCGGGGCCTGAATGACAGTGCTGGCCCCAGAGCCCAGGGCATCCTGCCGTGTGCAGGCCTCGGGTCTTCAACCCCTTCGCCTTTCATTGCAAGCTGGTCTCATTCTTCGTCCAGGGCCACAGGGTGCAAACTCAGACACATGATTAGTAAGTTCCCTGGCTCCGGACTGGGCTTTGGAAGGAAGAAACCTGTGGGATCTTTGCTCTTGGGTGGCCTGATGTGTTGGGTTTGTAGCAGGGGAGGAGGGGGCCCCATGCCAGCCCTTCTGGTAGTTCTCAGTTCCTCCTCTGGACTCCTAGGTTGGACTCCTGGTGGTCCCGAGGGCTCCTGACACCATACCCCAGGGAGGGCGAGGAGCAGAGGAACCAGGATTTGAGCCCCAGCTCTGCGGCCTGCTGGCTGTCTGACCTTGATCAGGTCGCTGCCTCTCTCTAGGCACCTCTGCAGCTTTCTGCTGCCAACAGATAGGAGTTCCTGCCCCGGAGGTTTTTCGTTCAGGGCAGGACCTCCTACCTGGCTGGGGATTCCAGGAGAGCCCACCAGGATGTAAGTAGGGCTGCAGAAAGCCCAGCTGATTCACTCCTGTTATTACACTATGGAGTTTCAGCAAAATGGTTCCAAGTCCCAGGGCTGTCTTTTGCTGTGGACTCAGTCATTTAGGGCTCCACCCTCAAGGGGCTTCACCTAGAGGTGGAGACTCGGGGACACTGACTGTAGTGCTTGCTCCCTGTTTTCTGGTCACCTGATTGTTCTGTTCCAGATGTGCCATGCTTGTCCCCTTGCCTCAGAGCGTTTGCACTAGCTGTTCTTTCTGCCCGATCAGCAGTTCTTGGTCTTGGCAGCGCTGCCTTTTGTCACCCAGGATTCAGCTCATTTGTCACCTGCTCAGAGAGATCTTCCTTGACTACCCAACATAGCCAACCCCTCTCCCACCTCGCCTCAGTTTCCCTACCATGTCTTCAAGTTTTACTGACCCCTTGGTGACACCCACCGACTGTGCATATCCCCTGCCTGTCTCCCCTCCTAGAATGGAAGAAAGTGGGGGATCAAATCTGTCTGTTCATTGCTGGTAAGTCCTGCACCTAAGTTGAGCACTGTGCACGAACAAGGCACTGAGGACATGTTTGCTGAGTCAGCTAAAGGACACCAGGGCTGCAGGGCCTGAATGACAGTGCTGGCCCCAGAGCATCCCCATCCTGCTGTGCGGCCCCCGGCCTTCAACCTCCTTGCCTTTCATTGCAAGCTGACCTCATTCTACATCCAGGGCCACAGGGTGCAAACTCAAACATATGGTTAGTAAGTTTCCTGGCTCCGGGCTGGGCTTTGGAAGGAAGAAGCCCAGGGAGTCCAGAGGAGGAAGCTACGACTATCTGGGGAGACCAAGGAAGGCTTCCAGGTGGAGGTGATGGGGGCTGCTTTGAAGGGTGAGTAGGCATAGCTTGATCAGAAAAATGCTTTTAGTAATACCAGCTGGTCCCCCTTTTGTGTTTTGCTCGTATGTGCCAAATGATTGATAAGTTTAATTGCATCCAAGTTTCCTAAGAGCTTGGCTAGGTGGAGATCATCCCCATTTACAGGTGAAATAACGGAGGCTGGGAGAGTTCAAGCAACCTGCCCGAGGCCCTACCGCCAGCGGGGACTGAGCTGGGATTCGATCCTAGTCAGTTGGGTAGCTGCTCCTGCCTCCACACCTCACAGGAGGGGCAGGAGAGGCACCGAGCAGATTCTGACAATGAAGGTGACTGACTTGCATACAGTCTAGATTCATCTCTTAATTTCCAGGATAGCCTGGTTAGATGGGAAGTCGTCCGAGTCATGCAGGTGCAGAGACACTGGACTAGAAGCCAGGCCTCCCGACCCTGAAGTTCAGCCTGCAACAGCTCCCCCGCCAGGTGGGAATGGGCGGTGAAATAAGCCTGGCCTGGGGTGGGGGCCTCTCACAGGACCCAAAGGGGGCCTTGAGGCCACGCCCCTCTGTCCTGGCACTGGTGGGGAGGGTGGTAAGAGCCTGTGCTCCCACCTCGCATCTCGAACTCTCCACTGTGAGGGCTGGTGCGCGGGGTGGCTGTGCAGGCGGCAGAAGTGGGCGGGTTAGGGGTGGGGTGGGGACTAGAGGTTGGCCCAGCCAGTGTCAACACCCCCAGTGACCCATAACAGCCCTGTGTGGAGCTTTCCTGCCGCCTGGAGGCCACTGGCGGAATTGTCCTGTTATTCCCAACGTGGTGCTTGTTAGGCTCAGGGAGATGATAAGCCTGTTGGAGGGGTAGGGTCCCAGCTGTGGGTGCAAGTGGAGGCGATGGGGATTAGCTTTCTGCTGAGCACCTGCTCTGTGCCCGGAACTGCCATGTATGATCTCATTTAACCTCCAGAGCTTCCCCGAGGAGTAGCCTCGACGGTCCCACGTCATAGATGAGAAAACTGGGACTCAAGAGAGGTGACGTGGCCAGCCCAAGGCCATCAGTGACAGAGGCTGGACTCCACGTGTCACAGCTTACAGGGACAGTCACTGCTGGGATTCTCTATCATCCTTAGCCCAGTGCCTGCAGTATGGAGCTTAGTGTCCTCCTTCCAAGATCCCAGCTGTAGCCTCCTTGAGAGTGTGCCCTTGTCCACCTGTGTCCTGCTCATAACTAGCACAATGCCTGGCACCCAGGAGGTGCCTCATAAATGCTCATTCAGAGGAAGTGGTCCGGCGTGTGCTGTGATGTTTAGTAGCAGAGGTGTTGGAGCCTGGTCGACCTGATGGGAGTGCCAGCTCTGCTACTCCCTAGTTGTGTGACCTTGGGCCAGTTACTTAACCTCTGAGCTTGGGTTTCTTCTGGAGTAATGTGGGAATGATAACAAGACTTACTCCTAAGGCTGTGGTGGAAGTTACATGAGGTAACCCATGGTACTCGGCAAATATGTGGTCAATAGGTATTAGCTACTAATAAGGAAGATAGT